TAAAAAGTTTTAGGTTTCTCAGTCTAACAAAAACCTGAAAAACAGAAAAAATTCAGAATAAACAAATTTGTTACCTGACTGAAGTTGAAAATACAATGTAAATAGCTTGAAGTATATTCGTACAAATAAACACTGCAGAAATAATTTTTTTTTGACGTCTGCATGGAAGATTAAAATTATTTCATTGTTTCAATTTGCATTACAATGTATCTGGAATATCCTGTCCAAAAATCATACAAATATATTCATTCATTAGCCAGTGAGAACCATTTTACTTTTATACTCAATTTCTCAAAATGCCTCTATAAGCATTATACAATATTATGACGCGTAAAATTCTAAATCAACTATAACTTTCTTACTTCTCTTCATAAATCAATTTGGTAAAAAGTTTTAGGTTTCTCAGTCTAACAAAAACCTGAAAAACAGAAAAAATTCAGAATAAACAAATTTGTTACCTGACTAAAGTTGAAAATACAATGTAAATAGCTTGAAGTATATTCGTACAAATAAACACTGCAGAAATTTTTTTTTTTTGACGTCTGTATGGAAGCTTAAAATTATTTCATTGTTTCAATTTGCATTACAATGTATCTGGAATATCCTGTCCAAAAATCATACAAATATATTCATTCATTAGCCAGTGAGAACCATTTTACTTTTATACTCAATTTCTCAAAATGGCTATATAAGTATTATACAATATTATGACGCGTAAAATTCTAAATCAACTATAACTTTCTTACTTCTCTTCATAAATCAATTTGGTAAAAAGTTTTAGGTTTCTCAGTCTAACAAAAACCTGAAAAACAGAAAAAATTCAGAATAAACAAATTTGTTACCTGACTAAAGTTGAAAATACAATGTAAATAGCTTGAAGTATATTCGTACAAATAAACACTGCAGAAATAATTTTTTTTTGACGTCTGCATGGAAGATTAAAATTATTTCATTGTTTCAATTTGCATTACAATGTATCTGGAATATCCTGTCCAAAAATCATACAAATATATTCATTCATTAGCCAGTGAGAACCATTTTACTTTTATACTCAATTTCTCAAAATGGCTATATAAGCAATATACCATATTATGACGCGTAAAATTCTAAATCAACTATAACTTTCTTACTTCTCTTCATAAATCAATTTGGTAAAAAGTTTTAGGTTTCTCAGTCTAACAAAAACCTGAAAAACAGAAAAAATTCAGAATAAACAAATTTGTTACCTGACTAAAGTTGAAAATACAATGTAAATAGCTTGAAGTATATTCGTACAAATAAACACTGCAGAAATAATTTTTTTTTGACGTCTGCATGGAAGATTAAAATTATTTCATTGTTTCAATTTGCATTACAATGTATCTGGAATATCCTGTCCAAAAATCATACAAATATATTCATTCATTAGCCAGTGAGAATCATTTTACTTTTATACTCAATTTCTCAAAATGGCTATATAAGCATTATACAATATTATGACGCGTAAAATTCTAAATCAACTATAACTTTCTTACTTCTCTTCATAAATCAATTTGGTAAAAAGTTTTAGGTTTCTCAGTCTAACAAAAACCTGAAAAACAGAAAAAATTCAGAATAAACAAATTTGTTACCTGACTAAAGTTGAAAATACAATGTAAATAGCTTGAAGTATATTCGTACAAATAAACACTGCAGAAATTTTTTTTTTTTGACGTCTGTATGGAAGCTTAAAATTATTTCATTGTTTCAATTTGCATTACAATGTATCTGGAATATCCTGTCCAAAAATCATACAAATATATTCATTCATTAGCCAGTGAGAACCATTTTACTTTTATACTCAATTTCTCAAAATGGCTATATAAGTATTATACAATATTATGACGCGTAAAATTCTAAATCAACTATAACTTTCTTACTTCTCTTCATAAATCAA